AAGAGATTGAGATTGTAAACAATGCTAGTTTGCTTGGCTTCCCAAACAACATTCTTGGCACTAGTAACCAGGATATTAAAAGATGTGTTGTGTTGGGGAAAGTCTGCTATTAGAGATCTCTCCAAAGTACTAAGAGCAATGATGTCAGTCTGGAGACTAAGATGCATCTGATACAGGCCATGGTCTTTGCAATCACATGCTGTGCATTGGCGAGCTGGACAATAACTAGAGATGATAGAAGGAAAATTGATGCCTTTGAGTTGTGGTATTGAAGAGGAGAATTGACTATATCATGGACTGCTAAGAAAATGAACAGATTCATCCTAGAGAGGGTGAAACCAGGATACTCCTTGGAGACAAGGATTCTGATGCTTCAGCTGACATACTTTGGACTTGTTGCAAGGAGGGACAAGTCCTTGGAGAGGGACATTATGCTTGGGAGGGTGGGGGGACAGTGAAGGAGGGGAAGACCCTCTATGAGATGGATTGATTCAGTTACTGGGGAAATGGGGGTAGGTGTTTTAGAGACTCTAAGATTGCCACAGAATAGAGCAGGGTTTAGGGCTGTTGTACACAGGGTTGCTATGAGTCACAGGTGACTTGATGGCATATAACAACAACAACAACAATGCCCATCATAGTCTAATCTCTTCTAGAATTGTGAGTCTACCCTAATAGCTGAATTTAGCCACTCAACTGAATCTTACTGAGGCAAATGTAATTAATGACATTTTCCTCCTGTTAGTAGGATGGGATGATACTTCCTTGAATATGTTTCTCTCTTTTTTCTTTCATATATACATAATTATTTCAATGACACATGAGGAAGAATTGGTGCCTTTGAATTGTGTTGGCTAAGAGTATTGAATATACATACTGTGGACTGCCAAAGAACAAATAAATCTATCTTAAATGAAGTGCAACCAGAGTGCTCCTTAGAGGTAAGGATGGTGAAACTTCATCTCATGTATTGAGGGCATATTCTCAAGAGGAACCAGTTCTTGGAGAAAGACATCATGCTGGGAATGATGGGGGATTAGAGAAAGTGGAAGACACTCAGGCAAGATAGACTGACACAGTGACTGCAGCAACGGGCTACAGTAAAATCAGAGATGGTGTAGATGGCACAGGATAGGGCAGGGTTCAGATCTGTCATTATGAGTTGCAGTCAACTCGATGACTCCAACAACTAACAACAATCTTTATAGGAGCAGATGGCCAGGGCGTCCTCCTGTAGAGCAGCTGGTGGGCTTGAACTGCTGCTCTTTTTGTTAGTAGTCAAGTGCTTAAATTTCTCTACCACATTATAAGACTTAGAAAAGCCTTCCAATTACCCTGCGAGATAGACTCTACTTTCTCCACTTATCAGAACGGACTCGGCAAAGTAAATCACTTTTTTAAATTCACTGATCTGGCCCTGGGAGAGCGCTGGGTGGGATTCAGTCTGTCTCTGCCCCTCCCCTGGGCCACTTCTGCTGCACTCCCTTCCTCCTCCCCTGGAAGACGTCTCATTTCCTGTGTGGGAACAGCTTCTTTTCCAGAGGAAGGCTTTTGATTTTCCACCCAGATCTCAGGGTTTGCACACATGATGGAGCCTGAACTGCACAAAGAGGCTTAGAACATGCCGATGCAACCCTGAGCGTGCTTATGTAGAAAACCAGGATGAAGCTGATGGGGCGGGTCTAGCAGAATCAGACCCTGCCAAACCAAACCAGACCAGACCAGACCAGACCAGACCAGACCAAACCAAACCAAACCAGACCCCTGCTGTTGAGCCTGGTCTGATTCATAACAACCACTTATCTGGGTTGGGGGCTTTAAATCATTAAGGGGGAAGACTGTTTTCTTTCATGGAACTGCTGGTAGATTTGAACTGTCGACAACTGGGGTAGTAGCTTAAGATTACACACTATGGCAACATGGCTACTTCATTTACTCAATTTACAGGAGAAAGTGAAGCCCTTCATCTTCCTTTTCTTCTTTTATTGTACTTTGAGTAAAAGCTACAAAGCAAATTTTCCCCCACATCTTCCCTGTAATCCTGGTTTTTATGAATTCTTTTTGATCTGTGTTTTCTCTTTCTTTAGTGATACTTTGCTGATCTTAGCTTATCTTTTGGAAATCTTATTTCCCAGCTTACTCTGCGACCATGACTCCTTGGACTTCTAGTAAATTAACCCTCAAGTACATTTTATGAGCAGGGAGGATAAGGACCAATAATTTCCTTAGAAGTTGGAAAGAATGAATTTGATATTGTCCTCCAATCTTAAAATCCATGTACCTCTCTAAACATGCCATTTCCCATGCAAATTTTAAGAGTTAATTCCTATACTCCCTGCCCTGATGGCATGGTGATCAAAGTATTAGCCCACTAGCCAAAAGGCCAGTGGTTTGAACGCACCAACTACTCCTCAGGAGAAAGACATGACAGTCTGCTTCAGCGAAGAGCACAACTGTGGAAACCCTATGGGAAGCTCTACTCTGCTCTACAGATTTGTTATGAGGCAGAAACTACAACAGTGGGGCTTAGTGGTGAGCATAACTCCTCCCTGGAGTGCCCCCCAGAGGTGCAAACAGAGTGGTCACCTGCTATTACTGAAAAGCTGAAGTTTCAAGGCTACCCAGAGGCACCTTGGAAAAAGATTTTACCAATCACCTTCTGAAAAATCAGCCATTGAAAACTCTATTGGAGCACAGATTTATCTTCACTCACATGAGTTGGAGTTGACTCCGTGAAAACTGATGCAAGTTTTCTCTTCCTTGAAAACTTCTGCTGCCCCCTGTTTCACCCCCTCATTCCTGCCCTTCCTGACAAGAAGGGGTAAACATCTGAGGCTATTCCCTGGAAAGGGGGTGAGTCAGTGAAAGAGAAGACTCCATTCAAATGGGTTGACACAGTAACTGCAGCTATAGACTGGCGTGTCAGAGATGATGAGGATGGCACAGGATAGGATAGGATTTGGATCTGTTGTTCGTAGGGTCATTATGAGTCATACTTGGCTCACAACACCTAACAACAGCATAAAGTCCAGTGGCCTCCCCTCAAAAGGAACTGGACTACTGTGTTTCCCTTAGTTTTTACCATGCTGTCTTGGAGGAGCCATTGTTGACAGTACAGAACCCTCCACTGGGGCCCGGCGCTCTTCTGGACAACCTTGTGAGGGCCTGAGAGAGTGGGTTCCCCTGACTCTTGCCCACCTGGTCTACCAGGCACTGTGGAGTGAGGGAATGTGGAGTCTACAGCTGGAAACCTCTGGGAATAAGGGATGTCTGTCTCCACCTCATTCTAAGACTCTGAAAATGCCAGCTGTGGAGGATTTTAGAAGACAAAAGAGAGTGGAAAAGAAATAGAAGAGCTTGGGGCAGGGCAGGGTTGACAAAGGATGCTGGGCAGGCCCAGACTCCCAGTTAATTGCTCATCTTAAAAGAAAGAGTAAAGTCCCTTAGTTTTCAGAACTGTGAACTCTTTCAAAATATTTGAGAGGGGGATGTGTATGCCAGGGCTGTGCCCTGCTGAGCTACACTGATGTAGGCAGCCTTTGGGCAGTAAACAGGCTGCCAGTTGTTAATCTTCAGCTCCTGGACAACTGCGCATGGAGAACCATCTTTTCCTCCTATCTTTTCTCCTTCTTGTTTATTTTAATTTGTTTTTATTTTTAACAATAACAACAACAGGAACACAAGCTAAATGGTTTCAAGCTATTTTAGTTTTTAAATACTCTTGCTTTCAAGAAGAAAAGCTTGCAGATAAGAACACTGTTCTTGTAGAAGTTGTATCTGAGGTTATAGGCCGGTTGACCTTAAAGCCACCTGTACCATATTCCCTGCAATTACAAGTGAGTTACAGTCTTGGTGGTCCTTGATTTTACCTAAGCCTTACATATGAGTCAGAGATGGGGTTAGAAACCATGGATTTGAACATCTTAGGGCCTGACTCCCTATAAGGAGGAGATTAAGGTGTGGTTTCATGCTGCATCCTCTGCTCTCAGGCCTTCCTAAGAAGGAAGACAGGTTTCTGGCCTCTCTGAGGAAATGTTCTTAAACCTATCACTCATGTGTTTTTCATTGCCACTGATTCAGAACCAGCTCATAGCTGGTCCTCCAGCGGGTTTTCGAGGCGGGAGACTGTCCATTTTTCTCCTTCAGAGCTGCTGGTGGATTTGAACTGCTTGCCATTGGGTTGGGAGCTTATCTCCTTATCCACTAGGTCACTAAAGCTCCCCCAGTATGTCGAATGTCATTTACCTGACTGGCAGTGCATTTTTGGGTTGTTCCTCAGATATGCAAGTTCCCTGCTGGATCTGATTCTTGGATTTGAGAGTCCCAAATTGGGCTGAAATGCTGATTGATGAATTTACAATTGGCTCTTACAACCTTTTGCTAGAAGAGTGACAAAGGGCAGGGAGGAACTTTAACACTGATTAGTAAACAGGGAAATCATAGTTCCTATTCTCTCTCCTTGTCGATACTGGCCAGGTTGAGCTCTGAAACCATTGGCGGGGGACGACACGGGACTAAGCACGGAAGGGCAGCCCTCCGAGGGGCTGACCTATTGTGGCCCAGATCTCAGGAGCCCTTTATCAAGGACGGAAGCCTGAGTAAGGCCCAGAAAGGGAGGCATGGAGCATTCTTCTTGCGTTTTGGGTTTGTCACCCCAGGTGCACCCCGTCCCCAGGGCCTCCTAGGAGTCTGACTGGCCAAGGGAGCTACTGAAGCGACCCGGGGAATCCAGAAGCTTAAGCTCAGGCGCCTCAGCTTCTCTGAACTTGGAGGTGGAGAGCAGAAACAGGATTTTATCTAGGCCGCATTCTGGCCCAGCAGCAGAGCTGTGTGTACACTGGGAGATAAAAAGCTGTACTCTGGAGGCTCGGAGGCACAGCGGTGGGCGGGACAGCGGAGGAACCCCCGCGGCGGACACGCGTAAAAGGGGGCGTGGCGACAGAGGCGCAACGTCAATCCTCCTTGCGAGCAGCGGGTCTGCAGAATCCGCTGAAACGTGCACCATGGCTATGACCCTGGGTTACTGGGATATCCGTGGGGTGAGCGAAGGGTCCAGCCGATCGGTGGGCTGAGGGTGTTGTGAAGAGCTGAGCAGTTCCGGGGCCAGATCTAGAAGTTTGATCTTAGGGTTTTGTTGGAGTTGAGTCCTGCAGCCTGGCTCTTTCTAGGCTGTTAACTTTGGACCCCCGAGGGGATGGGTGGTGAGGTGTGGTGAGAGTATCAGGATCCAGCTCAGTGGGGATTCCTCGCCTGTTTTTCTTGGGCGTGGGTGGCACCGGTGTGTAAGTGGAGGAGTTCAGGGAATCAGCATTCCTCTATCTCTGACACCTTCCTATGCTGTCTCTCCCAGCTGGCTCATCCCATCTGCCTGCTCTTGGAATACACAGAGTCGAACTATGTGGAAAAGACATACAGGATGGGGGACGGTATGACACTCTTCCTGTTGGCCCCGCTGCCAACTAATGCTGTCCTGGTCACTTGTTGGCCACCTTTTAAGGCCTTCACCAGCAGAATTTGCAGCAGCTCCTTCTTTGGATCTTTTTGCAAACTTTGGCCTGCCAGTTCAGGATGCTGGGAGGGAACTGCTCTCCACTCCATCTCAGTGATTGAAATGGGATTACATTTTAGGATTTGCCAAAATCTTTTGCAAGCTTTCCTCCCAGGAATGTGAGACTCAAGTGGTTCTGTCAGATTCCAGAACCACCTGTCGCAGGGGGTCTGGTTGACTCTTGTAGTATTATCTAGGGAAGGAAGGTAGGATTCAGAGGAAGTTCGTTTTCATTTAATCTTTTCTACCTTAGCTCCTGACTATGACAGAAGCCAGTGGCTGAAGGAAAAATTCAAGCTGGGCCTGGACTTTCCCAATGTAAGTGTAAGATGCGGGGGCCATGAAAGGTGTCTATCTATCTCCTCTCCCAGCTTGGAAGATGTAGGATCAAGTGTCTTCTGCACCATCTATCTTATTCCTAATTCTTTTGCTATTTCCCCCTGGTGTTCTGTGTTCCAGAACATGTAATAATTTTAGTGCCTACATTGGGCCAGGTTCTCAGTGTGCCAGATCTCATCTCTGCCATTGCTTGGGTGAAGGGGTGCTGGGAGGCTGGTGGTGTAACAGCTCTGCTTGGTTCCCTGTAGCTGCCCTACTTAGTAGATGGAGCTCACAAGATTACACAGAGCAATGCCATCCTGCGTTACCTTGCCCGCAAGTATAACTTATGTAAGTGGGGTGAGGCTGATGGGGGGACATGAGGCCTGGCTCCCGTTCCCTGGACTTGCCTGGGGTAGGATGCTGAGGGTGAGTGTCTAATACGTTGACCACAGGTGGGGTGACAGAAGAGGAGAAGATCCGTGAAGACATTGTGATTAACCAGGCCACGGACACCAGCATGTATCTGGCACACGTGTGCTACAGCCCTGACTATGTAAGTTTGTGTGGGCAGGGCCAGGGCAGAGTTTGGATTGCAGTGGTCCTATGTGACGACATTTCAACACCTTTGAGCTATGTCTTCTCCAAGGGAACCCCCACATTGCAGCTAGAGTGGCTTTCATAATTTTAAATATCATACAATGAAAACTCAGAATCAGTCCCCTCCAATTTTAGAATAAAAAAGAAAATTTAATTTAGGAGATAGAAGTCCAAATCCAGGAGGCAGACTCTACAGGAAAGCCTTCTATGTGTTTTCTGGTTCTTAGGGCTTCCTTGCGGTAGAATAAAATTTAATCTAGGCTTCCCAGTGTAGAAATCAGTTTCCTGAGTGAAGTGCCCAATTTATCTTCTCACTATCTTTTGATATTGATCGGAGTCTCCTGTACTCTGACTAGTAACCACACAATGTTTTCATAGTCTCAGTTTCGTAAGGAATGTCCCTGTCTTCCTCCTTCCATCAGCTTCTTAAATTCTGCTCGTATTTTAAGAAACTAGTCAAGTCATTTCTTGAGTTAAGGGCTTAGACTCCTGGGTGTGATGGAGATCAGTGGTGATAGATTCAAGTCATCGTAACTTTCTGCTTGGCCTTCCCATGTCTCTGGGAGATATGTAATAGGTTTGGTACATAGTAGGAGTCTGAAAAATGCTGATAGGATAAAATGAAAGTCTGGACTGTGGCCCAGGAGGAGTCTGAAAAAGATGCTGGCCTACCTGTAGCCAGCTGGGTCATCCCAGCTGTGGGGGAGCTGTCTCTCTGTCCAGGGAATTGGGGTCTGAGGGTGATAACAGTTGTGTTCTGTTTCAGGAGAAGCTGAAGCCACAATACTTGCAGGAGCTGCCTGATAAGATGAAGCTCTACTCACAGTACCTGGGGAAGCAGCTGTGGTTTGTAGGTGAAAAGGTAAAGAAAGAAAATGGGTGACGGAGTTATTATCCCTTCAGATGTTAGAGCTTCTCTCACACTCATCTTTGGTTTTCCACAGATAACCTTTGTGGACTTTCTTGTTTATGACATCCTTGATCTCAATCGAATCTTTGAGCCTAAGTGCCTGGATGCCTTCCCAAACCTGAAGGACTTCATGGCCCGCTTTGAGGTGAGACCTCTGATCTCCCTTTCTCTTTGATGCTTGTTTTTCCTTCTCTTCTCCATGATGCTTTTCTAGTGTTGAAAGTAAATTGTACAATAACTTCATTTATGGAATGTTTGCTTTATGCCAGGGCGTGTGCTAAGCATTTTAATATATTGTGCCAGATTTAATTGTCATAACATTACTAAGAGACAGATAGTAGTAACACCCCTGTGTTACAGAAGAGGAAGGTGAGGTTGAAGGGGTTAGAGAATTTGTTCAAGGTCACTGTCTTAGTTAATATAGAGCTGCTGTAACAGAAATATCACCAGCGGATGACTTCAACAGAAATCTGTTCTTGCAGAGTTTTATTGCTGTTAGGTGCAACTGAGTCATAGTGACTCTATGAACAACTGATCAAAACCTAGTCTTCTCCTGCACCATCCTCACCTTCTCCTCCACACTCAAGCCCGTTGTTGCAGTCACTGTGGCGTCATTTTCATTAAAGGTTTTCCTCTTTTTCGATGACCTTCTGTTTTACCCAGCATGATGTCTTTTCCTAAGGATTGGCCCCTCCTGACAGCAGGCCCAAAGTGTATCAGCCTAAGTCTCACAACTTTTGCTTCTCAGGTGCACTCTGGCTATATTTCCTCCAGTGCAGGTTTGTTTGTTATTTTGTTAGGCCATCGTATATTAAATTCATTTTGACACTGACCACGATTCAAAGGCATCAAGTCCTCTTTCATCTTTCTTATTCACAGTCCAACTTTGACCTGTGTACAAAGCAACAGTTTTCAATGTACAATGTCTTTAAGCTGACATCCTTGTTTTTTGGCTCTTTAAAGAGGTCTATGATAGCAGATTTGCCTACTGAGAGGTATCTTTTGATTCAAGAGTCTAGGAGTATAGACCTAGGGTGTCAGGTGTATTGAAAGCCTTTCTTCTCTGTGTCTTCTGGTTCTTGGAGTTTCCCAGTGCAGGTACCTGGGTCTACAGCATGTACTACTCTACTCCTGGCTCTTCTTTCTTGGTAGTATTGAGGTCCTGCCTCTATTTACTTCTCTGATTTTTATTTTTTAAAAACAGAAGTTGATACAAGGCTGGGAATCTCCCCTTATATTCAGTCAAGGCTGTGATAAGGCTGGTCCCACTAAATCACCTTACAACTGATTGAGTGATTGTATCAGATTACATAGTGAGGGGTGATTACCTCTCTAATTAATTATCTCCAAGGAAGATGTGTGTCAGGACTGTGTCCTTTCTCCAGACCTATTAAATCTGCATGGTGAGCAAATCATTTGAGAACCTGGACTTTATGAAGAAGAGTGTGGCATCAGGATTGGAGGAAGTGATTCATCAACAACCTGTTTTATGCAGATAACACAACCATGCTTGCTGAAAGAGAGGAAAATTTGAGGGGCATCCTGCAGCAGATCAAGGACCACGGCCTTTAATAGGATTAATTACATCTCAATATTAAGAAAGCCAAAATCCTCACCACTGAACCAATAAACAACATCTTGATAGATGGAGAAAAGATTGAAATTGTCAATGATTTAATCTTACTTGGATCCATGGCCAATACTCTTGCTATCAGTAAGGAGATCACGATATGTTTAGCATTGGGAAAGCCTTCTATAAGGGATCTCTAAAAATCCTGAAGAGCAATGATGTCAGTTTAAAGACTAAGGTATGCCTGATTCATGCCGTGGTCTTTCTAGTCACCTACTATGCATCTGAGAGCTAGACAATGAATAAGAATGACAGGAGAAGAATTATTGCCTTTGAGCTGTGTTGGAGAAGAGTACTGAAATAGACTGTCAAAGTAGAAGCAGATATGTTTAGGAGAAAGTACAACCAGAGTGCACCTTAGAAGCAAGAATGGCAAAGCCTTGTCTCTCCTAGTTTGGACATGTTTTTAGGAAAGGCTGGTCATTGGAAGGGTGGAGGCTCAGTGGAAGAGAGGAACACCCTCAACCAGATTATTTGATACAGTGACTGCAGTAGTGGGCTCAAATATGTCAGAGATTATAAGGATGGCACAGCACAAGACAGGGTTCCTATAGTCTGCCTAAGTGATTGCATTGGGTTTGTGGTGTTGGTGCTAGGTGCCATCAAGTTGAATATGGCTCATAGCGACCCTGTGAAAACAGAGCCGGACCCTGTCCTACCCTGTACCATCCTCATCATTTCTGACATACTCGAACCCATTGATGCAGTCACTGTGTCAGTCTGTCAGGTTGAGAGTCTTCTTTTCCCTCACCAATCCTCCATCTTTCTAAGCATAATGTTCCTCTACAAGGAATAACCTCTCCTGACAACATGCCCAAAGTATGTGGTACAAAGCTTTGCCATCTTTGCCTCCAAGGAGCACTCCAGCTGCGCTATCTCCAGGACATATCTGTTTGTTCTTTTGACCGTCCATGGGATATTCAGTGTTTTTCTTCGACACCACAACTCAAATACCACAACTTTTATCATCCTTATTCGTTGTCCACTCTTAGGTGCATAGGAAGTGATTGAAAGAGACTGTGGCCTGAATCAGAAACACTTTAGTCTTCAAACTGACACCATTGGTCTACAGAATTTGGAGAGATCCCAGACCGCAGACTTTCCCAATGCAATATATCTCCTGACTGCAGGTACCAAGTGTGTTGATTGTGGATCCAAGAGAGATAACTTTGTTGCCAGTTTCAATCTTTTCTCCATATGTGATGATGTGGTCCAGTGGTCAGAATTTTTTTTCTTCTTGTTGTTGAGATGTAATCCATATGGAAGGCTATATGGTTTGATCTTCTGCAACAAGTGCTTCAGGTTCTCCTGACTTCAGCAAGCAAGGTTGTGTCATCTGCATAATGCAGGTTGTTGGTGAGTCTTCCTCTGATCCTGATGTCACATTCTTCAAAGAATCCAGCTTCTTGAATGGTTTGCTCAGCATACAGACTGGATATGTTTGGAGAGTTTCTTCCTAAACCATTGATTTAGGAAGGTCTTTTAAGTCATTAAAACTTATCCTGTTAAGATGTGCCAAAACACATATCAGAGTATAACATGACCTTGTCACCTTAGATATAGATGAGGTGGTTGGTGTAAGGTGAGATTCCGCTCCTTTATCAGCCTGAGAAACTTGTACTCTCTCCTGCAGGTAGAATCATTAGAGCCCTCCCTGCCCTGTTTCATAGTCCAACTTCCTCTGTGATTCTTCATCCAGATTTGCTGAATCATTCCCTGCAATCTGGGCCTCTCCCAGCTTGTCCCAGGCATATTCTGAGCACATTTTCCTCTTCAGTCCATGTTGTACATGCGGTAAACCCTGAGACTCTGGCCGTGAACCAAGAACCTCTCACGGCAAAAGGAGAAAGTTGGTTCTGCTGGAAGTGATATGTCCTCCTGAGAGTGCAAATGAAGGAGCCTAGAACTGGGTAGAGAGAGCCAGGTAGATTCCAGCTCTGACCTAGAATTGGCTCAGGGAACAGGAGGAAAGTGCTTAATCTCTGTGGACCTTAGACTCCCTTCTGATAAATGTTGTTAGTAGAATCCATCTTGGAATCTGGGCATTTTTAAATCTCTATGGGAAGAGATCTGTATTTGTTCCATCCCAAAGAAAGATGACCAAACAGAGTGTGGAAACTATAGAACAATCTCGTTAATTTCACATGCAAGCAAGATTCTACTGAAGATTATGCAAAAACGACTGGAACAGCACATCAGCAGAGAACTACCAGAAGTCCAGGCTGGGTTTAGAAGGGGTTGTGGTACTAGGGATATTGTAGCTGATGCTAGATGGATCTTAGCTGAAAGCAGAGAATACCAGAGCAATGTGTATCTGTTTCATTGACTATGCAAAGGCGTTTGACTGTGTGGATCATAATAAACTGTGGCTGACTCTGAGAAGAATGGGAATCCCAGAACACTTGATCATTCTAATGCGAAACCTATACTTGAACCAGGAGGCAGTTGTCAGAACAGAGCAAGGGAACACTGCATGGTTTAAGATTGGGAAGGGTGTGCGCCAGGGATGCATCCTATCTCCATACCTTTTCAACCTGTATGCAGAACACATTATCCGGGAGGCTGGGCTCAATGAAGAGAAATGTGGGGTCAAGATTGGTGGACGATTTATCAACAATCTGCGGTATGCAGATGACACAATCCTGCTTGCTGAAACTGAGGAGGACCTGAAGCACCTGCTGCAGAGGGTCAAGGACTGCAGCCTTCAGTATGGATTGAAATTCAATTTCAAGAAGACAAAGATTCTCACCACTGGACCAATTGGCAGCATCAGGATGGATGGTGAAGAGATTGAGATTGTTCAGAGCTTTAGTTTGCTTGGCTCCACAGTCAACACTCTTGGCACCAGTAGCCAGGAAATTAAAAAGCGCATTGCCTTGTGAAAGTCTGCTGTTAGGGACCTCTCCAAAGTACTGAAGAGCAATGGTGTCTCTCTGGAGACTAATGTGCGTCTGATACAGACCATGGTCTTTGCAATCACTTGTTATGCATCAAAGAGTTGGACAATGACTAGGGAGGATAGAAGGAGAATTGATGCCTTTGAGCTGTGGTGCTGGAGAAGAGTATTGAGAATACCATGGACTGCTAGGAAAACAAACAGATTCATCCTGGAAAGGGTTAAACTGGGTGGCTTCTTGCAGGCAAGGATTCTGAGGCTCCGTCTAACATACTTTGGACGTGTTGTGAGGAGAGACCGGTCCTTGGAGAAGGACATCATGCTTCGGAGTGTGGAGGGACAGCGCAGGAGGGGAGGGAAGGCCCTCTATGAGGTGGATTGATTCAGTGACTGGGATAATTGGGATGGGAGTGTCAGAGACAGTGCGATTGACACAGGACAGAGCAAAGTGTAGGGCTGTTGTACATAGGGTCACTATGAGTCGCAAGCGACTCGACGGCAAACAACAACAACAACAACAACAACAACAACAACAACAACATGTTTTAATCTCCCATAATGTCAGATTGAAGACTAAAGTGCGCCTGTTCAGGCCACGGTCTTTTCAATCACTTGTTCTGCAGCTGAGAGCTGGGTGATAAGTCAGGATGATGGAAGAGGAATTGATGCCTTTGAACTGTGGTGTTGGAGAAGAGTACTGAATATCCTGTGCAGTGCCAAAAGAACAAACAGATATGTCTTGGAGAATGTGTAGCCAGAGTGCTCCTTGAAGGCAAGGATGATGAAACTTCATCTCACATACTTCGGGCATATTGTTAGAAAAGGCTCTTCATTGGAGAGGGATGTGCTTGGGAAGGTGGAAGGTGGGCAAAGGAAAGGAAGACCCTTAACCAGAAGAATTGACATAGTGACTGCAGAAATGGGCTAGAGCATGTCAGAGATTGTGAGGATGGCACACGATAGGACACGTTCAGACCTGCTGTTCAAAGGGCTACTATGAGTCATGTTTGACTCAATGACACCTAACAATAACAACAACAATGTTGTAATCTCTCATAGATATGAAACATCTAACAGTATGAAGTTTCCATGTGTAGAAGCTATTTTAAAAAAAATTTTATCAGTAATTTTTAAAATCTTTTCTTATTAGTATTAATTTTAATGAAAATTTAGAGAGACGTTGGATTTCCACTAATTCATTGTTGTTGCACTTTTCTCCCCCCCCCCACCAAGTACACTATTGTCTTTGAAAAGTTAAAGAACAAGTCTTTCATTGTTTTACAATCCCTCCCCCCAGGTCCACTCCACTATGCAGCCTTCTCTCTGGACTCCTGTCATGACAATAATACCTAATCACATATCCCTTTGAAACAGTTTTCTCCCTCATCTGTTTCAATGCAGTATACATTATTGAACCCATCTTTCTCAGTCTTCCCCCAACCCTGAGGTCAGTCCTGTTTTACAACAGTGGCACCATGCAGTATTTGTCCTTTTTTGACTGAGATACTTCACTTAGCATAATATCCTCCAGGGTCACCCATTTTGAATAATATTGCATGAGTTCCTTGTTTTTTCAATGCAGCCTAGTATTCCATACCATAGCTTTTCTATCCTTTCATTTGTTAATGGGTACTTAGGTTGTTTCCAACTCCTTGCTATTGTGAACAAAGCCGCAATAAACATGGGTGTGCATATATCTGCCTGGGTGTCATTAATGGTCTCTTTGGGGTATTATGCCCAGTAATGGAATTGTTGGGTCAAATGGTATCTCTATTTGCAACTTTTTGAAAAAGCGCCACACCACTTTTCACAGTGGTTGCACCATTTTATACTCCCACCAACAGTGAATAAGAGTTCCTGTTTCTCCACAACCTCGCCAGCATTTGTTGTTTGCTGTTCTGCTAAGTTTTGCCATTCTTACTGGGGTGAGATTATATCTCATGTTTGTTTTGATTTGTATCTCTCTTAGAGCTGGGGATTTTGTACATTTCTTCATGTGCTTATTTGTCATCGGAATTTCTTCTTTGGTGACATGCCTGTTCATATTCTGTGCCCATTTTTTAATTGGATTGTTTACCTTTATCTTGTTGTAGTGCTCAAATATCCTATAAATTTTAGATATAAGTCCTTTATCAGACATGTTATTGCCAAATATTTTTTCCCAGTCTGTGACTTCCCTTTTTACTCTTGTCTTTTTTTTAAAAGATGTAATCTGAATGGAAGTTTACTAGCATAAATCTTTTCATTCAACCATTTATACTTTTTAAATTTTATTTTACAACATTAAGAACAATAGCCACAATAGATTTGCATTATCTCCCACTTCTCTGTATTTCCTCCCTTCACGGGTTTATCTTTGGGAAAATATTGCCCTTTCCCCCTTTTATAGGTGGTATTTCTAATGAGTGAGTGCCTGCCTGGTGTTGTTAATTTTGTTGGCTTGTCCTTTGACTACAAATTGAGTAATGGGAGTGAGTTTTGTTCCAGGTTTGGAACTGAGGTGATTGAGGGCCATAGCTGGGAGTGCAGCTGTCTCTACTGGAGCGTAGCCCGGCCACTTTCCGATTTGTATTTTGTTCCACATTCTCCCCAGTTCAATGCAGGATCACCTGTAGAGAACTCAGCAGTGACCACTGAGCACCATCTAGTTTTTCTGATCTCAGAGTGTGGAAGTTGAGGTTCACATGGTCAGTTAGGTATTTGGACAATTTATTTCAGTCCGTCTTTGCCTTTCTTCTTTCTTCTGGACACAGAGAGTCCAATAGTTGCTCACAACTGCCCCTCCCAAACTTTTACAACCCCAGTTGATACTCACCAAATGTAGTATTTGTTCTGCTCACGAAATGCCCCAAAGAAAATCCAATCACATGTCTGAAAATTTCAAGAGCGTTTATTAATTCCACATGTGGAGACTTTCTCCCTCCTCAGGAAGGTGGTGCGGGGAAAAGCCCCGAACCTCCCCTCCCAATTGCTTTTATAGCTTTCTTTGGGTGTCCTGTCGGGGCAGGGGAATTGAGATCATGGTTGGTGGGTCGGGGGATCAGTCATGTGGGTCGGCTTCTGATGGGCTGGCTACTTTGCCCACCTTTACTCCCTCTGTGTCACGTAGACCCTAGTTAATTCTTTACTTTGCAAGAACAGACAAGACTTTACCCAGGGCATTCATGTTTGCCTTAAGAATTTTTATGGCCCTCTTCTGCCTCTAGCATTAATGGGGATTTATAAAAAATGGGGTTTTTGCTGTCCCTTCATTATTAAGACCATTGTCTTTCTCTATCAATCAACTCAAGGCCATATGTGGAGACTTATTAGGAGAAAGAATTTTAAGGAATGGAATAAATTATCTTAAACCAGGATAGCAAAACTAAGCTCTGGCCTTCTTTTCCCTTTTTTCCCAGGGCCTGAAGAATATTTCTACCTACATGAAGTCCAGCAAATACCGTCCTCGACCTCTCTTTGGAAAGGAGGCCACGTGGGGCAATAAATGAATCCAGATCATGGAAAAGGTGGAACAGCAAGGCACGGACATGATAAAAGAAAAGTCCTAGAAAATCAGAAGTTGCACTATAATAAAAGAGAACTAATTAGAATAAAATATTAAAAAAGACACAATATATGACTAGATTAGGATTTAGGGACCATTTGCTCTAAAAGTTGAGAGAGTAAAAGTTTCAGACTTTTCCGATCACGTGACCTCTGCCAACCACTCAGCGCTGTCTTGGTGGAAAAGCAGCTACAGGCAATCCAAGAGGAATGACAGGGCTGAGCACCAATTAAATGGCTTTGTTTTGCATAAATAAGTGACTAGTTGATACATTCGGAAGCTGACATTTCAAGGGCACTTCTGTGGTAAAGCTAAATTTTAGATTTGGAATTTAAAGGCCCATTTTCAATGGAAAAAGAACAAAATAACTCAATGCTTGAAAGAGATACGGGGCCTAATGAAGACAGTTATAAATGAAGACAGTTTGTGAACATTATGGTCATTTATATTCTAAAAGATAAAAACATAAACTTTATACAGTTGGGCTTAAAAGTGGTTCATCGATGTCCTAACTGAGACACCGACCAGAGATGTGTGTGATGTGAGCAGAATCTAGCAGAGGTTGTAGGACCTAAGGCTCCTTGGGACCCTCCTCAGTGCTCACACCAGGAAATGGATAGACAATATGGTATATAAATTGCAATCTTTTTATGTATAAAAAGGAGTGAAATTTCTGAAACATGACGTGAGGTGCATGGAGCTGGTGTCTCCTGGATGGGGAGAGGGGGGCCTGTCTGCAGGCGTGAACGCTGTTACAGTGTCTTCTTTATTTGTCGGTTGTCACCATTGTACATCACACATTCCATGCTGAGTATTCTCCATCTGTAGAGAAATGATTACGCTGAAAGACTCTTGAAAACCACAGTTTATAGAGAAGAGAAACTGATCTTTGTTCATGTCACAGGTCCTTGGGGAACAATCCACATTGGGGAGATTTTCTTTCTGGTTCCTGAGCAGAACTCTCTCTTGAGCATATTTGCCTGTTCTGTGGTTACAGCAGACGCAGCCCTCACTGAAATCCTGATAGCTGGAGAAAGCAGAATCCTTACAGTCAAGCACGGGGCTGCTGACTGAATATTCTCTGCTGTGCCGGAGCCCATGGTGGGGGCCAGTGCTCACCCAGCTCATTGAGGGTCTCCCTGCTTTTCACTGACCCTTTACCTTTCCTAGCATGCTGTTCTTCTGCAGGAATCGGCCCCTCCTGACAACATGCCCACAGTGTGTGAGCCGAAGTTCCACTCCCCTCACCTCCATGGAACATTCTGACTGCACTTCCTCCAAACAGATGTGTTTCTTCTTCTTCTGATGTCTATGCAATTCCATGTTGTTGTTCCGTGCTGTCAGGTTGTTTCTGACTCATAGCAACCCACCATCAAGTTTCAGAGATTGTAATCCATTAATAGGAAGAGACTGCCCATCTTTCTCCAGAGTAGCTGTTGTTGGATTAAGACTACTAGAGAAGCTTGGCCTTTGGATGAGCGGAGCAGCCTCCATGGACTATGACACCAGAGCCAGGAATTCCCCTATGAGCCGCAATCCAAACCCTAGATATATGCTCCATACAACCGGCAGCAGAAACTCAAGTAGATTTGTACAAAAAGGTTCATGGCAGTTTACTTACAGTAGCCAAAGGGTGGAATCAAACCAAACCTCAATCATCAAATAAACGGATAAACAATATATGGTAAATATATTGCAAAATTGTTAAGTCATAAAAATAGAGTTCCAAACATGTTATAGCATGCATGGACCTTGAAATTAAGTGAGATAAAACAAAAGGCAAAAAGCCAAACATAGTTTCACTTACATGAAATACTTACTCTGTGCCATCAAGCTGGAACTGACCCATAGTTTTTTGTTTGTTTTTTTTTTTAAAATTATTATTAAAT